CTACAGAATAAATGTGATGTGTGGTTTTCGTCAGCTCCGGTTGATTCAATATGTTAGCATAAAAACATATTAAGATATCATAAAGTATCGGAATATTTACAAAGCTGTCTTGAAGCGGGCATTATTTCACTCACATGCTGACACTAGGTTTTATCGTTTTAAAATATTTTAGTAGGCGTACGAATTTTACACATTTGAATACACTGATATATTATATATCTTGTATTTTGGGGATTATTACATAGAACATTTAGGTTAGAGACATTTTGAGTGTAACTTATGCAAATATTTCTTGTTGATCTTATCTTATTTACGATAGTTTACGTTATTTGCATAATCAGTAACCATTATGCCTGATATATGTGTTTATATATATACTCGTATATACTATATATCACATGTTCTTAGCTTTAATTTTAGATGTAGCTGGAGAAAAGCTAACTTGAGTATTAGAATGTCTGAAGACGCTAATGTTCTTCTACTTTGTACTTTTTCTTCGCGGTAAACGCTGCTTCGTTACCAGTGGTTTGATAATAATTACCCAGATATTAATTTACCGATGAAAAATAAAACAGGCAAATCGACAACCTTGTATTTGGCGTAGATTTTGTAAAATCCCTGGTAACAAATTAATTGTAAAAATTTTTTGTAAAAAAATTTAAAACATCTACGCCGAATACAAGGTTGTCGATTTACCTGTTTTATTTTCCACATCGATGTGTTTCTCTTGCGTCTTAATTTAATGATGGTTTCATAATGATTACCCAGATATTAATTTACCAATGGTTTAATAATAATTACCCAGATATCAATTATTACCATTATTTTACATAAAACCTCCTTGCGAGCTTTGTTTTCTACTTGAAAGGCATCAACCTTTACATTTAAAGAGTTCTAAATTCAAAGATTCGAAGTTATAATAAGCAATAACGGAAGTTTTATTTCAGTAGACGGAAATATAAAAGAAATGCATTATATAATATTACATATAATATATATTATAATTGTATTATATATATGATAATTTATTAATATACGGGGTGAATCTGAACAAGTGGGCAAAACTTTAGGGGGTGTAGAAGGCATCTTTATGAGCAATATTCGTCATAGAATACAGTGGGTACAAAAAGCATTAGCACACATACATTTTTGTTTACAATTTATAAGAAAATGCATTAAGAAATACAAAAATTGCCATTTAAAAAATAGAATAAGCCCATTCATTTAAATTAATTACAAAAATACAATAATATTAATAAAAAATTTTTTTTGCAACAATATTAAAATAGGTTATGTCAAAAAAAGTATTTGCACACTCAACTCAACTTTAGCAAATTTGCATTTTTATGCTATTATTTGACAGTCATCCCGCAGTAAATAAAATACGTAAGACTACTATAAAAGGAGGTGTTGTCGAAACGTTATCAGTTGATTACCGATTCAAATTGTAATGGCACCTAAGAAATCTGAATTGCTGATTTCTTTGCGAGAAAAATTTTTTCTCTGCGTGAAGATGGCCTAAGTTATCAAGAAATACGTAAAAAAAGTAAATGTTTGCTTCTCTACTATTTGGTATGTTATAAAATGTTATAAAGAAAGAGGATCTACATCAAATAACTTGCGCTCTGGACGCCCAAAGAAACTTTCACTGCGAATGAAGCGAAAAATCATAAGAGAAGCATAAAAAAAATCCATTTGTTAGTGCAATTACTTTAGCCAATGATGCCGCTTCAACATCTGGAGTTCTAATCTGTGCCCAAAGTGTTCGAAATGTCCTGCACGATGCACACATTTATGGGAGATCACCTAGGAAAAAACCTCTCATAACTGAACGAAACAAACTGAAGAGACTTGAATTCGCTAAGGAATATATCAATAAGCCAATTGATTTCTGGAAAAATGTCATATTCTCCGACGAGAGTAAGTTCAATATCTTTAAATCAGATGGCAGGAAAGTAGTTTGGAGAAAACCTTGTACTGCTTTTCATACCAAAAATGTGTTACCTACAGTTAAACATGGAGGAGGTTCTGTTATGATTTGGGGGTGCATGGCTAGCAAAGGAGTTGGTAATTTGTGTTTCATTGATGGGAATATGACAGCTCGAACCTATATAGATGTGTTGCGAGATAATTTGCCACAAAGTGCAATAAAATTGGGTATCAGTACTTCGTACTATTTTCAGCAAGACAATAATCCTAAGCACACTGCTGGTATAACACGTATGTGGTTGCTTTATAATGTACCCAGGAAACTTGCCACTCCACCACAATCACCAGACGTAAATCCTTTGGAAAATTTGTGGAATTCTTTGGATTTAAAAATAAGAAAAAGGAAGATTTCAAGCAAATCTGCCCTTAAACAAGCCCTTATTGAAGAGTGGTCGAATACTGACTCTACTGTTACAGAAAATTTAATTAAATCAATGCCAGCAAGATTACAAGCAGTAATAGATGCTAAAGGCATGCATACTAAGTATTAGTTATTTGAAATTTGCTTATATATTTTATTTCTTTTGTATTCATGCAGGTGTGCAAATACTTTCTTGATACGAGATATTTTAATTTTGTAACAAAAAAGCATTGTTATTTATATTATTGTAATTTTTCTGTTTGTTTTGGATGATTAATCTTATTCTGATTCGGCAATACCAATTTTTTTATTTCTTAATGCTTCTTTTTATGAATTGCAAACAAAAATGTAGGTGTGCAAATACTTTTTTTACCCACAGTATATAGTAAGAACGCAAACTGGTAGCATTGTAAATAAATGGTATTAAAAAGGGTGGTTCCTCGCATCGAACAGCATTTTCTACCATGGATTACCGAGAGGATTGCTGGTTATACGAACTACAGAATTTCCAGGGCGATGTAGTGACCGATATGGTTGCACAGCTTAGCGACCAAGATCACCGGATCTCTCGTATTTAGACTTTTTTCTGTGGGGCCATCTGAAAAGCCCAGTCTACGAGTGTCCCAATGTAGATGTACTCGTCAGGATCGTAGCTGTTGCCGGCGATATTCGGGAAATGTCTGGTGTTCGGCAAATGTGCGTCAATCCCCTATCCCGCATTACAGCTAGCGAAAAGTCTTTTGAGCAATTTCTATAAGCATGTTCTGCTAATAAAATGTTTTCTAAAGTATCTCCTATCATTCTTGTGTTAATTGTTTTAACGTGACAGGGGAAAATTACCCTTTAACTTCTCACCGATTGCATTCCGATCATACATTCATTCTATGACGAATATTGCTTGCATATTCGTTTGCTCGAATATTGCTCGTAGCTGCCTTCTATCACCCCCTAAAGTTTTGCCTACTCGTTCAGAATCACCTTGTATATATTTCAATATTTATGAATACTGAAATATAATAAATTAGTCACAAAGTGAGACACTAGATGAACCAAATTTATTAGTGGTCGGTTTCCTGAAATCAAGTAAGAACTAAAGAAGGAAATTAATTGTGAAAAAGATAAATTTTAATTATCATCTTATCTTTTGCTTTCAGCTGTTAATAATTCTTAAAACGATTTCTAGTAAATGAAATGCTTTACTAAAACATGTTTGAGAAATATATTGAAATTTGTCTTGCTTTTAAAGCTAATTTTGATTCCAGTTATAGGTATAATAATTTTTATTTCTCTTCATTGTATTTAATACATTTCACTTATTGTAATTAAAAGTATACCAAAAGTATAAGGGAAGTAAAGACGTTTTAAAGATGATATTGTATTTTAGTTTAATGTAAGCTTAATGTTTTGCGACATGATGTAATTTTTTAAAGGAATGCCTGTTGTCCTAATACAGAGTGAATTATTTCCTTAATATATTCCGTGAGAGTTCCAGCATAACACTTGAAACTGCGAACTCTCACTAGTCTAATCAGGACCTACATATATATTTTTAATTTGCTACAATATTTTGCTTCAGACTGCTACAATATTCTGATGCACAGTTTATAAAATTTTGCTATATATCTTGTTCGCTCTGATCTAATAAACTGCACAAAATTTAGTCAGATTTTATTTTCCATCATTAGAACATTCATCGTCTATTTATATCCTCTTTTTCAGCGTGTAATGATAAGTAAATTTATCAGTCAAATAATTTATTATACGTCATATCATTTTCAAGTTTTTGTTATCCGAAACTGCAGGAAACGTGATATAGCCAGGAAACTTTTAAGAAGCATAGTTTGAAAATATTGGCTTATAAAGTGTGGTTTAAGTTTCTAATTTGAATCGGCTATAAAAACCTAATTAATATATTTTCAAAATTAGGAGTTTATTAGACTCGATTCCCATTTTAAAGAAAAACGATACCCATTCCATTTGTCCTCTTAGGTTAAAAATGAGTTTAATATTCATAATTTCCCATCTTTTTAAACTTTTTTAGTTCAGAATTTTATTGTCAGTCATACGTAGAAAGAAGGTTTTAGTTAGGAATTTAGTGAATTTCAGAACTACAGTTAAAAGAAATCAGTCAAAGGAAAGATTATTAAATTCGATTAACTCAAATTAGAAAAAAAATTGATTAAATTAAAGCCCTCGATCCCACTGGCCATTTGATTCATTTCAGTCTTCGATGGATCATCTCATATTATTCTTGATTCACTCCCCGTTTGCGATTTTATTCATCAAGTTTAGCGAGTTACGATTCGTCAAAAAGAACCGCTTCAGTTCAATGAGGGAACAGTTCAGATCTGATTCCGTACAAATGTAGTTTTCCCCACTTCTAGTCAGTTATAAGGATAAATCCCGGAAGCTTCTAAAAGGTTACATTTTATCTCTGTGTGTGTTAAGTGGCTGTCGTTGATAACAAGCTTGAATTAAACAAAAGCTGTTGAAGTATTATATATATTTATAACTTTAGTTTATTTAAAGACTAATGTAATAGTTCCTTTGTCTTTCTTTTTTCCGATATTAAAACATGTGTTACTATTTAGTATATTTTAATTAAAAAAAGTACATTAATGGTTTCCTGTTTCATTTCAGACCCCAAAGAAAACAGAGAAATGAGCGTAAAACGTCGCCGTCTTCTGGATGATATGGACCGGAAAGACTTCACTTATCAACCGAACGGCGGAATTGATATCGATGAAGCCACTCATGAATATAAAGACTATTTGGATACTGTGCCGTCTATGCGACCACCACTTCCAGTCACCCAGTCCACTCAAATAATACCAATTTCGGAAGAATCCAGTGATATAGATGCAGAAATTCCTAAGGAATCTATTCAATTAAGCTCTACTGCCGAATCAAAGATCAAACCTCACCCATCCGAGACACCAATTCACAAACCATCATTGAATGCTGATACTCTGGAAGAGAAAAATGAACACAAATTACCCATAAATAAAGAAACATCACATGATAAAAATAAGCAGGCTGTGAAACCAACCGTTTCTGTCACAGAAAGTAAACAATCGCAAGAAGTAATACATCATAAAGAACATATCCCCGAAGAAGAGATCGACAATCATCATGTTGTGATTGTTACAACAGCTAGACCGAGAAAGGGTTCTGGTAATCCAAACTTGTGGCACAAATTGGGAGGAAAGGTCCAGCTACCACAACGTCCAGCATCGACGTCCACCCAAAATTCAAACATAAGTATACCCACAGCTGTTCCAATTGAAGAAGATTGTACTACACCAGGTATGCAACATATAATTCTTATATTTTGAACTGTCAAACCTTATATGATTTACGAGTAATTGATCTATGTACTGCATATTTATGTACAAGCTTTCATGTATTCCATACTAATTTTCTGCATCCAACATTGTGGTACTTAGAACCTCTCTCAAAACAAGTAAATTGATATTTAAGCTATAAAAGCTCATAATTGCGATAAACAATGATAGTAAACGCTGTTTTTGTTATTAACAGGTATTTGTAAACTATTTCAAAAGTAAGATTATAATCTTCTCCCTCTTTTCAGCCTGCCTTCGTGGTGTAACGGTAGCACACTCGGCGCGTATTCGAGAGGTCCAGGTTTCGAGTCCCGGCGAGTACACTGGGGATTTTTTCGATTTCCTTACTTTGAAAAATTCTAAAAGATTGCAACTGGCGGCCGAGCTAAAAAAGCGGTGAATGATAATTCGTCACCACCAGGTTTTTTTTTTTTTTTTTTTTTTTCTTTCAGTTGGGTCTCCTCATCCTCAGTCGCCCTTTAAAAGAGGAAATATATAAAGTACATATAAACATATAAAGTATATTTTATCATTCCTTTCCGCATCCTTCGTGGTGCAATTGGAAGCGTACTCTACGCGTATTCGGAAAATCCGAAGTTAGAATCCCGGCGGTGACAATGTTGATTTTATTCAATTTCCTGACTTAAAAAAATAACTAATGACTCTACAAGTGGCGCCCGAACTAAAAGGTGGTGGATGATAACTCATCACCACTAGGATTTAGCAACTATGTTTCTTCATTACCAGGTCCAGTAGATCTCGTACTTCCGTGTGAAAAAATGCAATAGTAGTAACTGCACCAAGCGTAGGGTATTAACTCATTAAAATTTACAATGCATGAACTCGAGACTAACAAATAATATAGAAGTGAGTGGTAACTAAAAATCAGATAACGAAACCAAAATCTTCTGAAGCTGTTAACAAGTGATAGAACTAAACTACAGGGCTAAGCGAGATCCTGTTAATTAAGTTACTTCAAAACTAGTGGTAGCCAGTAAATGCAATTAAGCACTAGAATAAACAAACGTTAAACAGTAGAGGTGACATCTGTACCCTAAATCTAGTCTTTCTTTCCCACTGAAACTCGGATTTTAAATACTTTCTTCAAAGTAGAAATTTGCATTAATCCACGCGCTCTACAAAATTTAAATATTCTGGCACTGACAATTTGGAAAATGAAGTATTATAGGAAAGTTTAAAATTAAACTTGAACTTGTTAGTTAAAATAAATATAAATCCCTACAAGATCAAAAAAGAGACCTTGAAATGTTTCATTGAAAAAATGACAAGATTTGAAGTATTTAGTATTGAAAGTAAGATCTGGTTTGAATTTGAAACACCCAAGAATGGCAGAAAAAAAACATTTCCCATCATGAAAAACCAGCAGTTTTTCAAAATAAATAAATAAATAAATAAATATAAAATTTAGGCCTATATAGGCCTAAATCATACGGGAGATTATTACGCTTCAATTCGCATTCCTCTTTCTTCTCACATGAGATATTTTGCACAGGGTAGATATAAATACTATTTTTTTTACTCCTTGCCTTAACATACAAATTACCATTTTGGATATACTTACTCTTATAGTAGCAATAATGATATATATAGAAATTATTGTGGGTACCATCGTTGTAAAGTATCGTAGATAATTTTCATTAACATTTAACTTTCGCCTTTGGTATGGGATATATAGAAGTGGCGTTATGCAGTTAGTTTAATTTACCTGTTAGCTTTATGAGTGATTTTAGAATTGCAGTTTTTTTTGGTTTTCGAGATTCATAACCAATCCAGCACGTCTTAGAACGTATTCGACAGATACACTGGTATCTAACAACGCCCGTCGCTGAATATAAAATCCAAGTAGAAAGTATATGCTCATATGTAGTGATGTATTCTAGTACAGTATTTAACCCCAGTATGGCTATTTAGAATGAAATTTTCATTACTGTATGTAAGGTTGGATTTTTTATTAAATGATCTTTAATCTGATATGCCATTTTTATATTCAGATGAAATAAGCGATATTATTAGTTTTAATTTGGTACATTGGCTATCAACAAGATAGTCTTCAAAAACATTCAGTTTTATCTTATAGAATTCCATAAGCGTAGCCTCAGTCATTTTCCTAATCTTCCCTAATTTAAAATGCCTATCTGTGTATGGTGGCGAGTATTGAAAATAAAAAGTGAAACTGAAATATAAGGAAACATAAATAGAAAGTATTTATTGAAGACAAAATCTTTAATTTCTGTAATCACGAGCATTAACTAATATTGCGTTGTTAAAATTTATGTAATTTTATTTATAGCCTTTTGCATTGAATCGCGTTCCTGAGTGGAATAAAACAAAATTATTAAAGTGAAATATTGCGTGTGTATTAAAAGTTGTTAAGTTTTTCCAGTTGCAAAAAATTAACTAATACTGTTAACAAATGAGGTAATTTATCTGTTTTACACGCTGTGTAACAAAATAATTAGCTATTACAGGCATTCTTCATTTTTCGTTTTTTTTTTTTTTTTTTTTTTTTTTTTTTTTTTTTTTCCTTTTTTTTTTTTTTTTTTTTTTTTTTTTCAAGTTACATGTCTTTATTCGATGTTTTAAGCTTTTATATTTTTTATATTTCTGTTTGCCCATATGAGTTTTCCTTTCTGACTTCTTGAAGAAAAGCGTTCTTTATCCGAGAACATCTTAAGAACCTGTAATGTTCGTAATGGATATTTTTATATGATATATTATTTGCATTTATGCTTTAATCAGAGTGACCAGTCTTTTAAATAATGTTTCTCTGAGTATGTTTTCTCATATACCGTCTATATATTTCTCTTAGCGAACACTCACGAGAATAAGGCTTTTGTCCGTTGTCTACGAGATTCCATTAAATAGAAATGGGTTTGCCTGTTAAATAGAAATGGATTTGCCTATTAAAATAGAAATGGATTTGCTTGTTAAATAGAAATGGATTTGCCTATTAAAATAGAAATGGATTTGCTTGTTAAATAGAAATGGATTTGCCTATTAAAATAGAAATGGATTTGCTTGTTAAATAGAAATGGATTTGCCTGTTAAATAATAGGGGGACCGGAAAGTAATGCCGTTTCTGCGCATGTCGACAACAACATGCTACGAGCAGAAGTAGAAGCAAATCCATGTCAAACACTCTTAACCAACCTTGGTCGACCATCCAACAATATTTAAAGCAGAATGGAAAAATAAGCAAAGCAGGTGTTTGAGTTCCCCATAACCTGTCCGAAAAGAACAAAGCCAACCTATCCATCAGATGTAACGTATTGCTTCAACGGCGCCATACAGAACATTTTTTGATCGTTCGATTAGTGGAGGCAACAAAATAAGTCCTATATGATAATCCAAAACTCAAAAGGCAATTTTAATAGGGGTTACAAAGGGTTTACATCCCGAAAAGACGCTTTTGGGTGTTTGATGGAGTATTCGCGGAATTGTTCATTTTGAATTGCTGAAACCTGGACAAACTGTTAATGCAGACTTTTATTGTGTACAATTGGATGGAGTGAACCAATCTTTAATAGAAAAATATAAATTTTCAACAGAAAAGGCGTCATTCTGCAACACGACAATGCAAGACCGCACTGTGCAAGACGAACACTGGAAAAAAATTAATGAATTGGGGTGCGAGGTACTGCCATACTCACCATACTCCGCCGAAATCGCAGCATTGGATTTCCATCTATTCGCATCCCTACAACATTTTCTTAGTGGCAAAAAATTTGAAAATTTGGATGATGTCCAAAATGTCCCCTCGAGATATTTTACTCAAAAACCAATTGGTTTTTATCGGTCCGGGATTGAAAATCTGCACATTAGATGGCAAAAGGTTGTTGATAACGAGGGTTATTATATTATTTATTAAAAATAAAAACTTGTTAAAATGTATTCGTTTGAATTTAATGTAAGAAAGCGACATTACTTTCCGGTCCCCCTATTAGAAATGGATTTGTCTCTAACTTGGAGGATCCACGGATTCAGGAAATTTCCGTTGTTTTTGTTGTGTCTAGGATAAGGGGGAGTGCTGTCATTTTACGGCAACCCTAAATCTGCTTTGCGGGTAAGGCCATCTCACCACGCCTGGACATTTCGTAACAATATTATAATGATTAAATAGCAACAAAATCAGCATTAAAAATTGATTGTTTTAGATGGATATACAAATGTATATACTTATTTATTTTTCATTAAATTTATTATCTTGCAATAAATGTAATTTTCTAAATAAAAAATAATCGTTTTTCAAAGGGATATGAGAATTTATTTCAAAGTCAAGGGATGCTGATCAGTTAAATGTTTCACAGATAAATATTTAAAAAACAGAGAAGCCCGTTTGGCATTTTGAAAATAATATATCGCATGCCGCAACGGGGATTTTAGAAAACAAAATTCTGAGAATATGTTAAACGCATACAGAGCAGGAGATTAGTTTGTTCGGCGGTAGTGCATTTCTAAACTGCCTTTACGTTTTAACCAAATTATGAGCTAAAGAACTTTTATTTGCTTCGTGGAATTCGCTAAACTCCTGATTCTCATCAATCACGATCTAGATCAAATAACTCAATTATGAGAGTCTGTGCGCAGTGAAACGTAAAGTTGAGAAACTGAACTGAACTAAATTAAATATTCCGGTTGTTGCTTTAAAATAAAGAATAAATGGAATGAATATTCAGCATGTGGATTGAGAGAAGGTTAATTTAATAACACTGACATAACAACACCAGAGCGCTTCTCATTAATCAAACACATCAAAATTCTCATGAACTTTACGGGTTTTATTTCTCAAATATACTTTTTATGTTATAAATTTAATTCTACTTAAATCAGTTTGAAATTGATTACATACGATTCCTGAAATTCTGAATATATATATATATGTACCTATGTAGAGCTATAAATTAAAATAAGCGAAGCAGCTACTCTTGTTAAAATATTTGT